AATTGGTGAGAATATCGACATAACAATAATGAGAACAAAGATAGGAACATAGTTAGCACTTTAAATATGAAGATAAGGACTTATCCTTTGCTCCGCTGTAGTCCTGCGATCGGCTTAAATTCACGGCACCCGCAGTTAACCACAAATAATTCCATGTAAATGCCAGGTATAGGATCGAGACGTAGTACTAAGTGACAAGGTGTAAGTGGATGAGTACTTCATCCAACCGTCTTTTAAATACCGTTAGTATCGGTGCAGAGACGACCGATTCTAGGAGAGCAATCCACGGGTGACAGACACGAATGGAAAAGAAATTTCTGGGGTACTCTAGGCGGCTATACTGTACAGCGAGTTTCAATGAGTGGCCCCTCAGGTTTGTATTGCTGCTGAGTTGCAGTAAAGGGCGGTACACATGAGGTGGGTCTCGCAGAATCAAGTATGCCATAATCAGGTCGTCTCATAGTCTGCAGCCTCTCCTGGTATGAAAGATTGCATATTCCAATTGTGTTCTTAGATGCCCGACATTGAGGCTGCTCCAGTGCATTAAGGTCGTGTTCCAACCATGGACGCCAGGCTTGAATTGTGTATTCGACATGGAGGCGAACATACGCAATGAGTATTTGTCGAAATATGGAGCGGTTTATTTGTCCAAACGTCCGTCACAACAGCTCGATCTGTTGATTCACGGTCTTCAAGGCCATTTTTGAATTGCCTGGAGCAACCCAAATCATTTAGAACCAGGACACCCAAGTCACGTTCGAGAGTTGATTGTTGTAGTATATTCTTTCAGAGCCGGTCTGAGTAGTTACTCTGATGTCGGATGGAAAGTACCTTGCATGTACTGACGTTGAAATGCAGTAAGTTTTGGACAATGAGGAATGATATGCCGGGGAGCAGTTAAGTAAATAAATAGCTTTTATCTATCCGAGTGGAAAGCAACGGCGTAACCCCCCCGCCCCGCCGAATCATCCACTAATTTGCATGGTGAGTTATTGTGACAATACAGAATTTCTCTACCTCTCTTGTTAGGGCGGTTGCTTTGGCTGAGTGATGTTCTCAGAATATAACGATATCTGTATTCGTAAGCTGAGCGTAACCATGTCCGGGTATAGAAATGCGCTCCAAGTACTTGCTGCTTGACGCATCCGCAACTCGGCAAGTATAATAAAAAGGACTCGCGTATTGGTGAACACAAAGAAGAGTTTTTACCTTCTCAGCAGTGCACCGAAAGAAAAGTGGTTCAGCGAAGATGTTATACCGATTGTAGTATGGTCAACTGTCATGAACTTTTGTTGCGTTGGCGGGGAGTAGTGTGGAGTAGGGTTTGGTGACGCCGCGCCTATCCCCTCTGATAAGCCTATTTATGCAGTATAAGTAGTGTTATTACAGAATTGTATATGAGGCCCGTTATCTATCTCAGGTCCACTATTGATGTGTCGTTCGAATGGGGCCGACATTTCTTTACCTGCTAATATGGCGCATTAAATAGACCAATCCTATCGTTCGCCACACTTAACCGGAGCTCGGTTGGCAGTGTGCTTCAAAGTGATTGCCAGCGTTCCAATAACCTAAGCCTCGTTTAAGCATTACCGTCATAGCCTTCATTACCTTTATAGCTTAGGGATTTTTGTGGCCTTGATAGTAGAGCTGTTGTAACGTTGTCGAAGGGCAGTATATCAAAAAGGTTGCGCCGCTGCTGTTGACCGTGGACATTTGTTGCGCATCCATCATGCTTCTGAGCCTCGCGCATTCCGTGAACCAAGACGGTTCTACCCATGTTATTTATACCGCAGTTTCCTAGGCCACGCTTTGCTTTCTTACGCTAGTTCCAAGGAACATTTGTAAAGCCAGCGACAAAATAAGATCCTCTCCGGAGAGGGGCTATTGCGTACCAGACAATCCACACCTCGTTGACAGAGTTCAGTATGACTCGAAATAGTTTAGCTTCACTAAATCGCTTGGGATTCAGTGATGGTTGATCCACGACAGCTTCGCTGGTGCAGTTCGAACACAGCGCAAATAGCCTTTGATGTTTCCTTAGTGCCGGTCATCCAAATGTTTTGTTATCAGTGAAGTTGACGTTAGTTCCGAAATTTTAGCAAACATTGTAGATAGGGCATCCCACTGTTTTGAGTATATTTCAAGAGCGTATGGGACGTGGTTTGGAGATTTGGCAATCTAATTCGAATCAGTGCAGCATCGCCTCTCACATTAGCTTTAAGTGGGGCAGCAGAAGCTGCAGCTGCTAATTTCTTGGACGTCTTTGGACGTAAGTACGGTTCAGCTGCTGCTGGTGTTAGCTTACCTCCTGAGTTTTAGTGAATCCTGGTGGGAAGAAATGGAATAAAAAGGAGTTGTTACAAATGCGCTGAAGGTGCCCAGTTCTGGAATGCCTAAGCGGCTGGGAGTAGTGAGATGGCGGATTCGCAACCACTTTATCAGTGACACTCATACTCGAGAAACACGCAAATTTGTGGACTGGACCTGTAGGAGGTTCATTGGAGAGTCTTGGATCGTTTCGTTCGCCGTACCTGTTCCTACTGAATCGAACTTTCCGCGCAATGTTTGATCCACATCCTCTGCCAGCTTTTCGAACTGTTAAGACGGTACAATAGAAGCAGTAAGTAAAGTGCTGGTCTTATACATTACGAAGAGCCAAAGTGGGACTGGCGTGCAGTTGTGTCACACCCTCGCTTGGTGTCAGGTCCCCACACATGGCATGGAAATAGTTGGAGCAGTAAAACTTGAAAGATCTATTTTTAAAACACTATCGTACTTACCAAAAGCACCATTAGCCAAAGCTAATTAGCCATTTGGGCTCAAGTAGTTACATTTAAACTTGGTATTGACGATTACTTAGCTGCTCGATCACACTCAGCGGTCAGGTTCTTTGTTTTTTCGCTAAGGTCAGCGCAGTAGACATGCGTCTGTCGTACTCTTCAGGATTGCAGGCAGAATGGCGGATTCAGCCATTAGACGTCTCAAACGGCAATTAGTGGTCAGAGTTCGGAACTCTTTATCGGACCGCATACAAGTCGAGTATGGTGTGCCCCAACGCTCAGTTCTAGGTCCACGTTTGTTTTTGGTGTTTATTAATGACCTTGCACAGGGAATCGCTTCAAACTTCCTAATGTTTGCCGACGATATCAAGATTTGGCGCAGGATCCAGGCGAAAGCTGACCAACATGTGCTTCAGAGTGACCTAGATACCGTGTATCAATGGTCGACCCAAAACTTATTGCATTTCAACGACAGTAAGTGCAAGGTGCTTTCCATCCGACATCAGAATAACTACTCAGACCGGCTCTGAAAGAATATACTACAACAATCAACTCTCGAACGCGACTTGGGTGTCCTGGTTCTATATGACTTCGGTTGTTCCAGGCAATCCGAAAAGGTCTCGAAGACCGTGAATCAACAGATCGAGCTGTTGTGACGGACGTTTGGACAAATAAACCGCTCCATATTTCGACAAATACTCATTGCGTATGTTCGCCTCCATGTCGAATACACAATTCAAGCCTGGCGCCCATAGTTGGAACACGACCTTAATTCACTGGAGCAGCCTCAATGTCGGGCATCTAAGAACGCAATTGGAATATGCAATCTTTCATAACAGGAAAGGCTGCAGCGATTGGGGTTATTCATTGGAAGCCATCGCAGACTATGAGACGACCTGATTATGGCATACTTGATTCTGCGAGACCCACCTCATGTGTACCGCCCTTTACTGCAACTCAGCAGCAATACAAACCTGAGGGGCCACTCATTGAAACTCGCTGTACAGTATAGCCGCCTAGAGTACCGCAGAAATTTCTTTTCCATTCGTGTCTGTCACCCGTGGATTGCTCTCCTAGAATCGGTCGTCTCTGCACCGATACTAACGGTATTTAAAAGACGGTTGGATGAAGCACTCATCCACTTACACTTTGTCACTTAACACTACGTCTCCATCCTACACCTGAAGTTTACCATGGAATTATTTGTGGTTAACTGCGGGTGCTGTGAATCTAAGTGGTTCGCAGGACTGTGGCGAAACAAACGATAAGTCCTTATTTTTATATTTAAAGTATTAACTATTTTGTTATCCTTATCATCGTTGTTATTTTGATATCCCCACCAACTATCCAACGGGACTATTAAAGCAGCGCTTCTTAACCAGTATAAATTCATTATTCCTTGTTCATTGTGCATTGCACCAATGCGAAAACACAGAGTGCGCTGATCGCTTTAAGGAATCTAATGAGCCAAGCACAGTGATGTACAGGGAACGGTTTACATAAACCGTCCCGCAGGATTTTTATTCAACATCGTGAAGATATGGTTGTAGGATCTTTTGATGTGCTTCAGCTTATTATTCCGAACGAGACAAAAATAATCTCTAAATATCTCAAAAGGGATATAGTGGTCCGCGTAGGGTTCGGCAGTGAATACGTCTCTTGTTTCTCACGCACTAACTGAACTTTAACAGCTCTCTATACTATTTTGCGCTTCCACATCCCATTCCCTTTTCAACCTATCGTTATGCAGTAGTGCATTTAACTCGGTGGACGCTTGAAATAACTTTATGACTATTCGATGATCCTTCGAATCTTAATTTTTATTCCAACCATCCTACGGGACTTCTCAGGCACATGCTTTTTTACCCGTGATTGATCATTGTTCATTGTACATTGCAGCATCAAGAGCCTAAACATAGTGTAGATCCAAGAAGCAAAGAGCACTGATTAGCGCTTATCAAGATGATTCGAAGGATCGTATGATCAAGAAAGTGTCATGAGAATTAGATTAGGAACTCCTGGTGAACCAAGATGGCAGAAAGCGCGGCGCACTGATAATTCTATTCGTCATCCGGCACACCGTATATATTCAAGCTCCACAAATCAAAACGTAAAATATAGTAACTCGGTTTACCCTAGGTAAGTGCACAGATTTTCACCGATAAAATAGGGTGTATTGAATACTCTCTCCCTACCAAAATCACAAGCGATGAAACGTACCAACTTTTCGGTAGCAACGTCTTGTCCCAGTTCGGCTTGCTGAAGCAGTGTGGTTTGCAATTCGATCCATTCGCTGAAAAAATGGAACAATCAATGGGAAACAGTAAAGTCAAATGAACTCCCCTATGAAAGCTAACGACCAACTAAGGATTTCAGATGGCTACCCTTCCAACAACAACAAAAACAACAACAACAACAACAACAACAACAACAACAACAAGACTGACCAATATTCCGTTTACTGCGCTAACTAACAAGTGCTCTGCACAGCTGCGCTTTTATGATGTGATGCGCAAACATAATGCCCAATCTGGTTACTAAAAATATTCGATAACCACTCACTGATTTAGGCTGTAACGTGTTAAACTATGACAATTTTAACGATATTTCATGCAATGTAGAGTTTAAGACCTGGTCGCATATCAATATTACGTACAATCTGCAACATAAATAAAGAGCCGATAAAACAACCGAAAGCACGGAAGAGATGAGATACGGGATGCATAAAAAAGAAACTGAAGATCCCTGATTATTTCACATTCAGTTTTCCCTGTTTTGTGGTTAAATTTTCTAGCGGAATTCACTTGCATATGAACAAGTGTGTAGGCAGTCCTGTTACTAAATCCTGCGCCACACGGTATCTTCAAATAACAACCCACTAAGCCCACAATCACAGAGCGAAATAGTATCAAAGATAGTTAACTCAGACACTAGCAAGTTAAGCATTATCTGTTACTGGGTTATATTCACCAAAACAATGTTGATAGAGTAATCAGATAAAGCTCGATGAAAAATCCGCTAAACGATGCGCAGGAAGTGACCGCGATCTCTAATTTTTCAAGAAAATGGATGAATGGAAAGACGCACAGTTTGAGACACAAACTTTCACTGTGCCAATACAAAACTGTGCTGCTCACTACCCGGAGGTGGGCTTCTGAAAACCATGACAGTCGAAGGCCCAAAAGCAATGCATGCAACTCAAGTTGATCGGTCAGAACTCATCACAATACAACAATACCGATCTAATTGGAGTTCTATAAACTATGCCTATTAGAGATGGTGTTCTTCAGAAACACATCAGGTCGGCATCTGTAAGGTTGGCTATGGGGATACTAAATTCTGTTTTCCGATAGCCCCAACACAGCGGCAAGCCGTCGCTAAATCTTTAGAACGTTTATTAGCGATTGTAGGAAAAGTGATGAAATCCAGGAGTAACGATCCGTACACCAAGTGTGCAATGACTTGGGTCTTCAAGGATGTAAATCTGTTAAAGAAGCTTTCAATGCTCTCGATCGCACATGGGGCTATCAAATGAATGTGTTTACTGCGAGATACGTTTCCTCCCGCATGCATCAGGAAACAGTTGAACCCTTGAACGATTTCATTGCCCGGTTACGTCGTGCAGTACTATAGTGTGATTATTCGTCCCTCACCCAGAAAAAGCTCGAAAGCTATATGTTGATTAAGCAACTGATGTATGGTATCCTTGACAGTCGTGTACTTTTGAGGCGCTGTTGCAGGAAGAAGCGTGCACATTAACGTTGGATCGAGGATGCGAGTTAGCCAGAATGAACACTGAAGTGTCACTGCAAGCGAAACAGTTCGGTTCGACCAACACAGCTCAGCGGACAAGCCATCTTGTTATAGCTGTGATAGTGTGTTTCTCATAAAGCAACCGTAACACTTGTACCGCACGCAGCCGTAGGTGTAAAAATTGCAGCAAAATTGGGCACTAGGCCTAATTTTTTTCAGTCGCAATCCATTGCATTTAACAACAACAAGGCTAAACCAGAAGGCCATGTTGTTAATCCATCTCAGAAAAACATTTATTCCATCACCGCTAATCCCAACACTACAAAAAGTCTAACGATATCCGTTATTGAACCAAAGTTTCCCTTCGCTGATATTCGTACTGTGGCATTCCTTACCATCAAAGTCGCTGTTCCACTCGAAATGGAACTAAATTCTGCTTCTACAGTTACCATTGTACCATACAATCTCTATAAACGCTACCTATCCCAGCATGCTTTACAATCAACTTCGCATTCATTTTGGAGTTACATTAGAAATGTCTTGACCATATTGCGAGTCATTAGCGTGCCTTTCCGTTTGTAATTGGTGGCTGCGTATGTTGCAGTATACATTTCTTCAAACAGCAGACGACCCTAAGTTGGAAGAAAAGTCGTGGTGGCTTTGCAAGTAGTACTATCATTCGACCACATACTTGCCTCATCCGCCAATGTGACAGCGGCATAAACGTTCTATTAAGCATTTTTCAGCAGTCCATCAGACGTATTCCATGTGGTGTGCACCCTATTCAGCTGAAGAAAGATGCACAACCCGTTGTCATTGGTCAACCTCAGACAATTCCGCTAGCAAAACATCATGCTGTCTCAGCGGCCTTGTAAGAGATGTCAGCAAATGAATTAGTTGAACCCACCGACTTCTCTGAGTGGGTGCATCCAATGGTGTCTTGAAAAAGCTTAGAACTGTCGGGATATGCAACGATTTGCAGGGAGTAAAGAAGCAAATCGCCGTCGAGCGCTTCGTGTTGCCATCCAACGAGGAATTCACTGTAGTTTCAGCTGATGCAACCGATTTTTTCTAGGTAAGCTTTGAAAAGTGCATTCTTTCATATACCATTGACTAACGATTTGAAGCGCCTTATTGCCTTCCTTGCTCCTTGATGGATTATTTCAGTACAAAGTGTTTCCAATGGGTTTGAGTTCTGCGCTTTCTGCTTAGCAAAAGGTCATAACTCACGCCTTGACAGGTATTGAGGAGCAGATTGCATACATGGACGATATACGTGTTTTCCACCGTTCACAAGAAGAGCATGACGAAAGGTTATACAAGGCACTTCGGCGTCTCAGTGCTCGCTATTTACGTCTGAGTACAAAAAGGCCTGTAAGTAGTAGGGGGATTTATTAGGTTTTTGTGTAGTTTTATTTTGGGGGGGGGGGCAGCCCTGTCCTCTGCACATTCAAAACATGCAAGACAGTGGAGGATGGGCCGCGCTATATTGCAGTTAGATCTCAGTCATGGCGGTCCGCCACGGTCACTCTTGGCTCAGTGACATAAGTCGCTGACTCACAAGAATAGTGTCGTGGGTTGGAATCCGGCAGGATTCGGCGGGTGCGCGCTACTTACGAGTCGCAATAGGACGAAACGGCCGCCAAGCGCTTTCCTGGATGCATGGTGGCTGTCTACCTGTGTCTAACTGCGACGAATCTACACAAAACAAAAATGTCTGTTCAATGCCCACGAGATTCAGTTTCTGGGACACCTCATATCGCGTGGCGAAATTCGCCTAAGCAACGAAAACGTCCGGGCCACCACAGAAGCGCCAACACCCAAGAACGTGACAGAACTGAAGTATATTTTGGGAATCTGTTCCTACAACTTGCACTAGTTGCAAAATGCTGCGACCCTATCAAATCCATTACGATAACTAATAAAGAAAGGAGCGTCGTTCACTTGGGGAAGCGATCAGCAAAACGCTTTCGATGAACTGAAAAGAAGGGTTGCGTCTGATCCCTTAGTTATCATTTGTAATGCATCATGCCGCACTGAGGCGTCTAATGTTGGTCTCGGTGCAGTTCTGCGATAGCGACAAAACGGAGCGAAAAAAGTTATTGCTTACGCATCTCGAAAACTCTCAGATTCTGGGCAGCATGATTCAATTTGGGAGAAAGAAGCTCTTGCTTGTGTTTGGGCTCTATAAAAACGGCATCTTTTCCTGTTCGCTTCTCGTTTCACCCTACGAACTGATCACTCTGTATTTACAGTCTTGCATAGCAATGGGTCTAGAGGCTCACCTCCAATGCGGATCGATCGTTGGTATATGAGACTCTTTAACTACAATTTCCAAATTTCATTAAGGTTTTCATCTTACTAGTTCACAAGCTACACAGCCTAGTCAGGAAACGCGCCAGATGCGTTTCTCCCCATTGGGGCTCGTCAGTGGTGCGCATTCCCTAGGTCCTCTATGGAAGATCCAACCTGCTACTTACCACCAATTTTCAAATTGTTTCCCGACCGGATTTGCAAAACTAAATCGCTGATGAATTTTCTCACTCACCCGTGGGGCTGGAGGATTAGAAGGAGAGACTCAGAGAGGCAGTATTAGTTTCTAACCTTGACTCCGACCTAACTGTCTTGACCATCGTGGAATTATGGATGGAAAACGCCAACGGACCGTTACTACATCAACTCAGGGAGTAAGTGCAACAGGAGTGGCCTAAGAACAACGAACTCCCTGATGTGTTCATTCCATATTCCCCAATTCGGGATAAACTGTTAATGATAGATGGTTGTCTGATGAGTGGTTCGGTGTTTATGGTTCCACGTCAGTTGGTAAACTAAATAATTGCTTGTGCACCTGTGGGTCACCCGCGTATCATTCGGACCAAAAACCGAGCGAAACACTGCTTTTGGTGGCCACGAATGGTAGCTTGCGCTGCGACACTAGTGAGGAACTGTAAAGCTTGCCGCCTAGCGGACAAAAGTTCTCCGCCAATCGAAGCCCCAATACAGACTATTACTTACCAGATGAAGCGGTGGGCTAAGATCCCCATTGATATTATGTGTCCTTTTGATACCGCTCCCACGAATAAAAGAACACTACTTGGAGCCACAAGTTTTTACAGTAGGTGGCCTAAAGTTCACATTGCGGTCAAGTGACTACATCGGTAGTGTTGCGCTGGTTTAAACACTTTATCAGTGGATTCGGACTACCGGAAGAAATACTCAAGGACAATGGACCACAATTGTGTAGCCATGACTTCGCAGTTTTCCTCCCGTGCCATAACATAAACCATTCCAGAACTGTACCTTACAATCCTGCGGCCAATGCCATGATCGAGCGGCTAAACCGATCCCTCAAGGAAAACATACAGGCTATCCAATTACGTGGGTGGGACTGGGAAGATGGGGTTTTAAGTGCTGTACTTTTTTTACAGAACCTGTGATGACAGGGCTACCGGAAGAACGCAGCCAGAGCTGCTAAATGCAGCACATAACCTGTCATTTGCGGGATGCACAGGAATTTCAGATTGCATAGCACTTTACCGAAATTCCTACGTCAGATCGTCAAAACCAATACAGACTGGACGATACGTTCGAATTAAAATACGGGTCCCGGTTAAAGACCTCCCAGCTCTATCCGCACGGTTGCAAATCACAAAGAGACTAGGTGCAGGGACCTATCCATTGGAAAACGGCCTAATTGCCAACATACTCCCATGGACCAGCTACCCAGTCACAAAAATATTTGTGTGAACACCAAGACGGATCACCGTTACCGCCAGGTCAGATTCGCCGGTAGCCTGTCAATCGCTAATAGCCCGCGTGACGCGGCTCTTCAAAAACGGGAGTGGTTATTGTGGCCGATTCATCACCATGTCATGTTTCATCGGCTGGCTGAAAGGTAAAACGACTCGCTTCTCATGGGTTGTGTGAAATCCGAATGGTTAAAATGGATCATTTTGTGTTGAGTCTGTTAGCGCTGGATTGAGTACGGAAAAACAGCCTGTCTTTTTCTGTTGTCTTCTTGAAACAACAATGGTCAAGTAGCAAGGAGAGCTTAACGTGTGTACTGAAGTATCCAGCAAAAGCACCGACATCCGAACGCTAACATTCATTCAAAAGAGAAGAGTTTAGTGGTAAAAGTTAAATCGGGGCAACTCTCAGCTACAGCCCAGTCGAGACTAAACCGAGGGTACAATCGAACGGAGTTTATCTTCGCGACGTGTGGTGCTTACAATTTAGAGTACGGTTGTTCGGTTTCTAACTGGGAACAAATCTAGTAGCGTAGCCATGACATTGCTGTTTAATGCCACGCCAACCTCGGACAAAAATAGTCAAGCGTTCTCTTACCTATTAAGGACATGTAAGCGATATCCTGCTGTTATACTGACCAGAGAAGTAGGGCCATGTACAGTATTTGAGTACTTCAACCGCGATTCGAAGAAGCAGTAAACACAAATAGCAAGTGACCCGCATGTGCGCAGGACTAGTTTTTAACCCAAGCAGTATAAATATGGTTACACTAACAGATGTAACTTGGCACGAAGGACGGCGTCAAAAGAAGGGCACTGGTTGCGCTTTACATCGCTCGTCACCATCATCATCATCATCCACCATCATCATCAAGATTCTGGCAAGTCGTGACAGGACGAAGCCTGCCGAGTCAGATGGAATCCACCCAATGATCCTCAAATGCTTATCGGCCATCATATCGCCTTCTGTGACTGAGCTGTTCAACGCGTCGCTGTCCACTGCACTATTACCGGGCGACTGAAAGTGCTCGGTCGTAAAGCCATTACCTAAAGGTGGTAAATCAAGCAAAGTGAATAACTACCGGCCGATCTGCCTGACCGTTGTTTTGGCAAAGGCGCTCGAGAACATCGTGAGGAAGAGTCTTCTGCAGCTTCCAGAGTCGAAAAGCCACGTGACACCCACACAGCATGGTTTCGTGAAAGGTCGCTCGTGCAGCACAAACCTATCGTTGATGAGTCACGAATGGTTGCTAGCGCTGAACCAAGGCAATTCGGTCAACATCATTTACATTGACTTCAGTAAGGATTTCGCAAGGTGAATCATGCATTGCTCTTCGTCAGACTGAGGGTGTGTGGTGTTGGCAGCTCGCTGCATCGATGGATCAAGGATTTCCTTGTTGATCGAAAGTGCAGGGTCCAGCTCGACAATCATTTGACCTACTGGTATCCATCAAGCAGTGGCGTGCCCCAACGCACTGTACTGGGGCTGATTTTGTTTCTGAACCATGTAAACGATGTGCCTCAGCTACTCCATTCATCTTGTGCGCTGTACGCAGATGACTTGATGGTGTTGAGAGTAATCCACACACCCAATGACTGTGACCTGCTTCAGCAGAACCTCGACCGCCTCTCCACGTGGCCTGCAGAGGTCAATCTTCCGAGGAACCCGGTCAAGTCGCAAATCATGACGCTGGGTAAGTGTGAGCACAGTCAAACCCACATGGTGGCAGGTCAACCGTTGCATCCCACGCCTTTCGTGCGAGACCTCGGTGTACTCTTACGCTACGACCTAAAGTCCATGGACAATACGAATAGGATTTGGGCGCTCAGGCGCAGCTTCAACACTTGGTCCGAAGAGATTACCACTCGCCTCTTCTTCTCAGTAATGCGACCAAGGCTGGAGAATGCCTCTCGCGCGTATTGCCATATGACCCGAGGCGAAGTAGAAGGGATTGAGAGAGTGCAGCATGTAGCCACCAGGTTGATTTCCAAGGTACGAGGTATGCTGTACGAAGACCGGCGTAGGAAACTAGGGCTTTACACCCTAACATATCGTCGACTACCGGATATTACATCTGGGTGCTTACCTCACGTTGAGACCGCTGCTTCATCTGCGCACACCAAGCAGCACACGAGGACACCGGTACAAGCTTGCCGTACCGGATTTGAAGCGGGTCGCTCACCAAATTTGTTTCGAACGCAGAGTGGTGGATGTATGAAACGACCTGCCGCAGCACGTAGTAGGGACAAAGTCAGAGTCGGAATTTAAGGAATTCCTGGACGAATACTTTGCCGATATAAACTGTATGGAGCGCACCCCAACATAACGGGTCTTTGTCCCTGGGTGACATCAGATGCATCTATAGAGAGATAACACCTCTTGCTGCTTCCAAGCAGCACGCAGTAATAATAATAATAGTAATAATGAACGGCCTCAACATCATCATTATCATCATCATTGCACGTTAGCGGAGAGTGAGAACACATCTCAGCTAATGTGCCACCATACACACAATTCGGATATTTTGCAATGTGGATTTAAAAGCTGCAAATGGTGACATAATAGTAATATCACCTTTTGATGGTTGTTGAAAAGGGAAGCTAAAGGGAAGGAGAGTGACAAAGAGACTCACAACACAAACGCCAAAGAGCTCGACTCTTCGCTATGTCAGCTAGTTTATCCAACCAAACGTATTCATCATCCATATGTCACCAGCCAGCCAGTCAAGAAACACCAACCGATGCGAAATTCTAAGTGACGGTTTCCATTCTTCTTGAGCAAGTCATCGCTTGGTCTTCCCCTTCTTCGTCCATCCACACCTCCAGCGCACAAACAATGCTCTGCATTCATTAACGAGCCTGTTTTCAGAGCCTGGATCCATGGATTATCGATGAGGAAACGGTTAGCGTACGAGCTTAGTAAGGGTTTGTGGAACTACGTAATTTAAATTGATAGATATTTTTAGTAAAACATGTCTACTTCATAAATAATAGATTCCAACTACCAACGGTTAGCGAAAACTGGCATACCTCAGGCCTGATTTTAGTTGGGAAAAGAAACTCCGCGCTCGACAAATCCTCGGTGCTGCAGGGACAGCGGGCGGCTTTCGAGAATTAGGCACCCCTAAAGCTATGTCGACAGAATCGGAATCAACTTCAAGCAATTCAATTGCAGACTGAATGGAGCGAGATTGCCATCCGTTTTGGATCAGTGCCGGTGCGGATGCGAAAGATGGAGTAAAAGCAAGGGGCTTCACGACGGATCGTTCGCAGCATTCCGCATTTCGATTTTCAGTAGTGCTCTGATGAGATTGAGTGGTAGATGGAAATGGCGCACGCAGATTAGACGAATTGTGTATTGGCTGTGGTTCTTGAAGACGACCAGAAAGGAGGCCATCATTAGACATCTGGATGGCATGGCTTTCTGGAGGGCTGATAGCGAAACCGGATAAATTACCGGTAGGTACATAAGCCGTCTTCCTTCTGGGTATAAAAGTGACGTCACCAAAGTCCTAAAGGGGACAACCAAGAAAGCTGCTTAAGCCATGAAGGAAGTAAAGGACGCATATGGTATAGCTGAATAAAAACCTTAAGGTACCACCTTATATCATGGATGTATGTATCAGTGGCTGAAGCATGCAAGGCTATGCGGCAGCAGTGTTTATATAGCAGCTGGACCTGGGTCGAAAATAGCCTTGACATCCACATATTCTAGGTATGATGGCGGAACAATTAACAAAACCGTACACTTAAGAGTAAAATGATACATTTGAGCTCACTTATGGTCACGTGGGTATAGTCAGACTGGCACGTTAGAAAACATCATTCTTATGAACTGAAGTCAACTCGTCTGCCCTGCTTTTTTGACCACTTCCAGGTGTGCACTATGCATCTGCATTTGTCCAGAGACTCCTCCAACGTATCCCAATATGTTGTGTAAGGTACTAAATAAAAATATTATCCTATTATATATTTAAGTGTCCGATGCAGAATGTCGAGGCGTAGTATGAATTTTTATCTGACCCGTCAGCAACATACATGTACACGCCACCACGCCCTGTCCTCTGCACAATCATACCATGCAAGACAGTGGAGGATGAGCCGCGCTATATCGCAGTTAGATATCAACCATGGCGGTCAGCTGCCGTCGCCCATGGCTGAGTGACATAAGTCGCTGACTCGCAAGAGTAAGGTCGTGGGCTCGAATCCGGCAGGATTCGGCGGGTGCGAGCTACTGACGAGTCCCAATGGGACGAAACGGCCGCCTAGCGCTTTCCTGGACGTGTGGTGGCTGTCTGTCTGTGTCTAACTGCTACGAATCTACACAAAAACGCTTTCATTCGTCAGGTCACTCCATCGCGCGGTACCCAGACATCCTTCCCTAGTTAGCATGGGTCGTAACGGTGTCACTTTTGTCAGCCAATAAGGGGACCACTGAAAACCCAACGATAAAATATTCTTTTCCTCACTTCCGTGCTTTTGCTTCAGCAATCGGCCAAGGTACTCGCCAAAAGGCAAGCTGATAAAGTAAATAAATTAGCATGAGTCTTCCACTCCTCCGCTAAATTGGTGACCCGGATCTGTGTTATTTTCAGCACCGGTAGTAGAGCTGTACGCCACCGGGCGCGTCCCCAGTTTGCAGATCGGGGAATGCCTGTCTTGTGGAGGTAACAGCGAATATGTCCCGTTTGTTTTGCAAACGAGATAAACAAGCAACCGCGGACAATCAATGCTAGCTTCTCAGATTGTGGGAAGTTCTTGGCAGGTCTCGTGTGGCTCTCTGCCATCCCTGCACTCCACGACAGACGGTTTCGTCTTTGTTTAGACTCAGCAGGTCATCTGGTTTTCCATCAAATACAGTCCAACCTGCCGTGGCTACCAGGCACAAGTATTCCCAACGATTTTCCTATATTTTCTCATTAGTTTTAACCTGTCTGACAACCACTAGCACGCTTTTGTTGTCTCAGACTTTCTAACACCTGCTCAAAGCTACCACCACTAGCACGAATGGCCGAGAGTGCCAGTAGAGGTGTCATGAAAGTCTGCCACCGTGTCGTACAGATAACTTAGATCATGTTTCAAGGTGTCATAAATGTCCCAGAAACCACACCATATGCCCTACACTGCTTCAGTATCGTCCAAGTTCACACATTCTGTGTCTCCTTATTCGACTCCCCATAGGATTGTTAATACCCCGCTGTCGCAGTTGACCAGTTCAAGTTGCGTAACTTGAACCCAATACCACTGGTTTATTCTCACCCCAGGGGTCACACTGACTTCACACCAGACTTGTTCCCTGGATATCACCCTATGTAACCAACGCATGTATCCCGCAACTGGCTGTGTTGTGAACCAATCGGATAGGGCCGTGTTACCCAACGAAAGAACCGTCGGACTCCTGTCGCGCACCCCGGATTTTGTGATACTGTTGTGCACTCGCAAGTACTAGGACTATCACTTTCTGTGTGTGTTTGTTCACTGTGTAACCAGTCGGTTGTCAGCACTGAGCGGGTACTGTTGAGGTACATCCTTACTGAATATTGATGTTTGTTTTTATAGTTCTTTTTGAAGATTTTTACCGAGAACCAAATGGCTAGTTCCAAATCAGCAAAGCCAAAGGCATTAACAATTGAAGGGAGAATAACAGTGATCCGACAAAGCCAAAAAGGAAAAAGTTCGCTAACATTGGCGGAAAATTCTGGAGTAGGAAAGCCACAAATCCTTCTAACTTTAAAGAGGAAAGCCGAGTTTTTGGTATGACTTTGAGAACAACGTTCCAAGACTGAAAAGAAAATATGGTAAAAAAACGGCTAACGAAGACATAAACACGCTTTGCTGAAAATGGTGTCAGTCAGCACTGGCGAGAAAAATCCTAGTACCTGAACCCATGATTCAAGAACAAGCGTTGCACTTCGCAAAAGAATCGCAATACCCAGACTTCAAAGCGTCAAACCGTTGGCTGCAGGCTTTCATCATTAGACAAGCTTGTGCTTGGTAAGCAACCGGGCGAAAGCAGTGACAAGTATGTGTGCTGCATCGGATTGAACAGGAAAATTAACCGACCTTTGTTCTAGCTACACAGCTTGACATTTTTAATTTAGATGAAACAGATTTATTATTCAAAGTGACGTCGGATAAAACATAGTTTGTCGAAGGGGAGAATTGCGCAGGTGGGATAATAAGCAAGGAGCGTATCACAGTTATGCTGGGCACTAACAGGTTGGGGGATCGAGAACCGGCTTTAGGGATTTGGAAATCAGCCACCCCTCTAATTTTTAATAACACCAATATATAAAGCTACCGGTAGTTTGCAAGCATAATAAAGTGGTATGAATGACTGCAGCTATTTTTGAAGACTGGCTTCAAATTTTGACGGTAAAATGGAGAAAAATATGCGCAACATCATACTACTTGTGGACAATACCAATTGCCATTCCAAATTTCAGCTAGTTAATGTCAAATTGCAGTTCGTGCCACCCAATAACACTGAAGTTTAGTTCAACTCCCCTACCATGGTGTCATTCAGGCGCTTAAATTGAAGTTTAGGAAAAAGCAGCTGCTGCATCTTATTATGATCATGGAATGCTACAGAGATATGTACGGAATTGAACACATGAAACGAGTGAATTTATTGACTGTATAGCTGTCGCATGGAAGGAGGTGGAGAACTCAACAATCTCTAAGCGTTTTTGTAAAGCTGGGTTTCCTTGTACTGCAATAATAGATTATGAGGAAGCAATGCAAACTGGACCTGCAACACATGAGAAAATTGTACCATCTTCAATCTCCATTGCCTTGGATACTCTTTCAAATGAATTGTTTGGATGCCAACTGGCTGGCAGCCATATGGTTGATTCTTATCTCCAAACTATAACACAACAGAAATAAACTGGGACCTGCCTGCTGAATCAATTTTAACAGCTGAGGATTTGAATAGTGCATCAGACAACAAGCAGGAACAGGATCCTACAGAGGTTCTGAAAACGTATACATTCACAGACGCACAGGGTGCTGCTGATATTTTGCGCTCCTAAGCAATACATAACTGACACACAGACATGCTTTAACTTAACATGAATGTGAGGGAATAACTAAATTAATCTTTCATTTCAACTACCAAGCGACAGATCGTTATACTTGACTTTTTTCATTGGGTAGAAAATGATTATGACAATAGAAATGTGGGTGTACGATTTTTCCAAATCTTGTGGATTTTGATGATTTGCAGGACAGATTTTAAAACGTTAACTCATACACCGTAAATTTATTGCATTCTTATTACTCATCTATCTAACATCATACACTACTGTTGTTACCCTAATTAGAAGCTATGGCTGACTGTAGGAGCTCTGGGTTTACTGATCTAGTTCAGGATTTGAAAGTTTATCACACAGGTGGAATCGATCATGAGTAGTGTCGCCTATGCATGAACCTGTCCATGGCGACCAAGTTTTTATGGTCCGTTGAGTGATCGTCTTGGACAGGTTTGACTGTACTACAAAACTTCTACGGCGCTGAGTCAAAGCCAATGTCACCGGGGCTATAGGGTCATATACTCGTTATGCATCCACACACGGGTGTAGAGGCTAATGCCGCTTGCGACAGTGCTGGCTGTGCGGCACCGGTGACCGGCGATTTTTATGCGGCATGCAGTGTGACGACTGGAACCAATGGAATTAGCAGTAGTGTACCGCCTGACTGTTGAACAACACGTATTGATGTTTACCAGCGACAGTTTGCTTTTTAGCTGAGCAAGTTGTTGTGAACGTCGGCAGGGCCGCCCGACTTTTTCTCGGTAGAGACGTCAAAGCCCTTGATGCCAGACTGCCAAGTTTGGAGCATTCAGTCACAGCTGTCATTTCTTTGGCCGCTCTTCTTGACCGTTAGACTGACTACCTCATAGAGATACTTGTGGTCACCAGTGATGACAGTGTGATGAAGAGAATTGGGCAAATCAGCTTTGTCGATCAACCGGTTGAGGTGAATCCAACTGATGATGGTACTGCTGACAGCATTTCTGGCTCCACTCAGAAAGATGCCGAATTCCTGATCACTGAACGTGCTGAACTGAGACGAAAGGGGAACATGAGATTGCATAAGCAAACCACCAAAGCCGCATCTAAGGTTATCTCGGCGCTAGGTGAAAAGCGACAGATGCTGGCATCACGTGCCAACTCGACTGTCGTCTTTGCGGAGGTGAAAACTCCAAGTACCTTTCTTTGTCAGCCGGAAAAATAGATCTTTTACGCTGACACAAACGTTCAGTCACGAGCCTCTAAATCCGTTGGGCTAAGGTGAAAGCCAAACAGAGCTACCTTAATCTCCCAGTAAGGTTGGAACATTCAGAAAATTTTGAGGCAAAGAAGCCAGAGCAGAAGACCGACCCCGCAGTTGCATTAGCTTCGACTGATGAGGTGTACCCAGGCTCGTCGCCTGCAGCTAATCTGACTAATTTTAATGTGAATTCAAGAACCCGAGGTTTAATTACAGCCATCAAGATGCTTCTTTTACC